TTTATAAAAGAAGGATTAAAAAAAAAAATCTCCATAAGAAAAATATGCAGTTAATAGAGGGATACCCCTACAAAAAGTCTTACTAAGATTAATTAAAATCCTTACTAAAAGATTAATTAAAATATCAAAATAAGTGTTTTGTTTCAACAACAGCTGTTATAGATATGGAAATACTAGATCATCAGTAATATTTGACAGCAAATTAGCAAAAAATGAAAATCTGTCAAGGATGTAAGGCTTGTGTAACGAAAATACCGCAGCCTGGGATGACCCTGCACAAAGATTTGTAATCAGGAGGTACGTCGCTACATCTGGGATGTACAAGTTTTTCTGTATGGAGAGCCAGAAAAGTGAGAAAAATCGATGAGAAATCTGAAATCCCACAATTTATGGCACTGTCAGGCTGCACAAGCAGCTTGGAAACCAAGGGAAAGAAAACAGTGGAGAACAAGAAAATACTTGTGCTGTTGAACTGATGGATGGACAGGCACGGTCGCGCTCCTGCCATCGTGAACCAAGGGAGAGGGTGTTTCAATGGAATGGGGCACAAAGCAAATTAATGCCAAATCTTTGTCAACCTCAGCAGAGGGGCAAACAAGCAGCTAGCCATGAAAAATTGAAGTTCTGGTGCCCAGTGTTTCTTTGACATAGGAAGGACGGAGTCACCTGAGGTGTGGGGCACTTAACCAAAGGAGTCAGTGCAGTCACTTAGGAGCTCCGCAGGTTACTGGAACTTGGGCTGGAAACATGAAATACATCCAGAATTTAAGCTAAAACCGCTTAATTTACTGCATAACTGTTTAAAAACAAACAAACAAACAAACCCCAAGAATGGCCTCGTTGCTATTTTAAAGCAGAGCAAAAGCAGTGAAGACCAAGGAGTGAATATTAATGTGAACATTTTCCACATGTACATCTTGGATATCCCACGCAATGTAAAACTGTATCTAACACAGTGAGCACGGCATTCTTTATCTGGACACTTACAGAAACCTCAGCCATCTTCCCACAATGATGGTACTCAGCAGGCAGTCCAGAACAGGATATATTTGGAAAGCCTCAAACTTTACATTCTTGTTAAAACAAACAAACAAAAACTTAAGACCATGAACTGGTTTCTGTCACATACGAAAAAAAAATCCAGAAAGATACAGAATATATGCAGTCACAAGAGCATACAGGTTCTTGATGTTTTTAAAACGCAGCAACATATGATATTTAACGGGTTTAATACAATACTGCAATGCATGAAGTGACCTTAATTTGTCACACAGGCACCAAAAAGTACAATTTCAGCTGCCCAGGTGTTCACAGGCCAACTGAGAACTGTTCTACAACTTTTAGGAACGTTTTGATCTATTTATGGGACAAAAATAGGTCTGGGATCCTTTTGTGCTAGATCCTGTGGGCACTGCAGTCCAACAGAGGGGAACCAAAGATGCGTCGGGGGAAGCAATTTAATTCCCTGCTATCCAGAAAACCACCAGCAGACAAGAGAATCAATCCCAAATTCCTATTCCAGGCTTATTTACTGTAGAGAGAAAGGCAGATGGACAGCTAGGAGCAATCTTCAATGTTGCTTTGCACATGTTCTTGTGCAATAGCTACTTGAAGGGCCTAAATTCATTTCCTTACCTTGCTACTTGGATTTTTCAGATTTTTGCAAAGCCTGAGCTCCACTGACCCGCCCAGCACAGACTGTGTGAAGCAGCTTTGCAGCCGGCTGGCAGCGGCGATGCTAAGACACTGTGTCACGCTGTGACAAACCTGCCAAGCGCAGAGCGCCGCGCTTACCTCCGTGCGGGAAGAACTGTGCGTAGATCTGTTTGAACGTCTCTTCATTAACCACCCCACTAGGACATTCCTGGTGGCGAGAAAAAAACCAAAAAATCAAGGAAAAACACCACTCTTGAGGTTCATTTGCAAAACACTACAAGCTGAAGACAGCAGTGACACAAGTCACATTCCAGTTCACGCAGTGTACTGGCTGCACAAACAAATTAGATAATTTGGACTGACATTCCACATTAAGCAACTCGTATGCTCGCTTCCCTGTTATTACTGTTCTTACCGTGGTTTCTACAGTGTTACATCCCTGCTTTATAGGGTGAGCTGGAAAGGCAGCTCATCTGCTGTCATAAGGAGCCCTTCTGCAATAACTGCAAGTATATTGCCAGCTAACACGTCCCCTTTCTGGATCTTCACACATATTAACTCATTAATCCTGGTCTAAAATTCAGGACGGCAGCTGGATGCCCCATCCCAGCTCCATGGAGGCTCACAGAACACACTGGCAAGTCGACACAAACAAGCACGAATGTTGGCCTCCAAAGGGCCATTTTTAATTTGTTTGGCAGGTCAGGCTGATGCATCCTTCCCTGAGGCTGGACCAGGAGCCTCCAGAGCTCCTAACGGGATGGACACCTACTGGCCCCTTGTCTGCAAGGAAAACGACTGCTTTTGCATGAGTTTCTGCCACTTGCACTAGTCTAGAAGCCATTTAAAGGAATGTTAGTGCACAGTTACTGGGGGAAGTCTCCATTCTGCGTTAAGGAAAGCAGAGTTTTAACCCAGGATGTTGGTGGGTCCTTTCAAAATCCAAAAGCTCCTAACTGGGCTTCCCAGCATCGCTCCACAGGCTGCCCAGGCCACGTGAAACTTTTTCTCACCTTAAATACAACCATTAATCTCAGTGAGAGCTTGAAGACCACTAATAAATGCAGGGGCTCATCGTTATTTGCTCCGTGCTTTCCTCAAATGTAGCATCCCCTCTAGTCCCCCAGTGCTCTCCTCATACCCCCTGTCTCTTGAGACCCCCAGGCCAGCGCGGGGACCTCCGCGATGAGGCTGAGAGCCAAGGAAGGTGTGAGGAGGAGCAGTGATGGCTCCTTGCAGGGAAGTGAACGTGTTTTGGAGGAATTTGCCAGCACTCAAGGAACGCCCTGCCATCCAAAGCTGCCTCTTGAGCACTCCCGAGCTGCCTACACAAGCCAACCCTATCGGGCTTCCTTTCCAACACGGAGCCCCCAAGGAGCTGTGCCCACAGGGGAGGGCAGGGGTTTGCCCAATCACTTGCATTAAAGCTGGGTCACACTTTTTGCCTTGTATTAGAGGAGCATCCGTTGCAGCCAACAGCTCTTTCCCCTAACAGTGCCTGTAAATGGGCCAAAAGACCTATAATAATCCCAATTCTTTCAAATCGCTCAAGGCACTCCACAGCAAACATGGCATTAGAAGCATGGCCTAAACCCATGTGTTGGATTACTGAGCTCAAACCTCTTTGTTCCTCATCCATTAGTCAACAATTTATCAACTTCCATGCTAAAAAGCCTAGTTCCTCGCCCTCCTCCCTGCTGTTCCAGAACTGTTCCCCAAACCTCACTCCACTGTGGGCAGAAACCTCTAATTCCAGCCTACGCTGGAATGTAGGCTGGGATGGCCAGTCCATGGCCATCTTGCTCCTGTGCCAACGCTGCCTTCTATCCCAACCGGCTCCCGTCTGATGCGTTTATGGACAGTGAATCATAGAATCATAGAATCATAGAATGCTTAGGGTTGGAAGGGACCTCTAGAGATCATCTAGTCCAACCCCCCTGCACACGCAGGGACACCTAAAGCACGTGGCGCAGGACTGCATCCAAGCGGGTTTTGAAGATCTCCAGAGAAGGAGACTCCACAACCTCTCGGCTCCCGTCTGATGCGTTTATGGACAGTGAACATCCCATTTGTTTTGCCAAGCTAAACCAAGGCAAGATGTAGCAGAGGCTCTGCTGGTTTTGCAGCCGCCGTTATCTCCCTTTTCCAGATCCACAGCCAGTGTAACTGGGCCAAGAGCCCCGAGTTTAATCCGGCTGCGAGAGCCAGGGAGCTGCCGGGGCAGAACAGGCTCCTCTGCACAACGCGGCCGGCGCCTCGGGGCAGGGATAACAACAAACAGACGACGGCTCCTGTCCTGCACGGGCAGGAGATGCTGCAGGACAGCCCTGTTTCACAGCCAGGCCCCAGGCCGGGCGAGCGGGCTGCGCTGCTCCACAGGGCAACGCATCCAAACGGGGCAGCAGCCTCAAATGCTACAGTGCAGAGACTTCGGACTCCTCTCCATGCCCATCCACACGGTCCTGCCACCTTCTCTCAGCATGGAGTCCCACCAGAAGCCACCAAAATGCCATGATTTAGCAAGAGAATCATTTTGCAAGGCACGATTTGGGCTCTCGGGGGCCACGTGAATGGTCACTACTTATTTTTACTAAAGGAAAAACTAGCAAACAGGGTTTCAACCTGGCAGCTCTTTGCCACAGCAGCTTTGCTGGCTACGGAAACCCAACAGAGAGCATCAAAACCCATCAGTCCCTTTGAACGAGGAGGATAACTTGATCAAAGCCTCTGAACGTCTCCAAAACTCCACAGCTATAAATAACTCTCCTGTCCCAGAAACTGCAGATCTGTAGACCCTGCTTCTGCTCGAGCAACGGGGAGTTTCTTTTGGTCTAAAATTTTTGCTCCAGCCCATGCTCCCGCGTACGGCTCCCGGGACGCACCGGAGCTGCCTCCGGCTGCGGGCAGGCGGGCAGCCAGGATGGGCCAGCGAGAGGGACGAAGTCCCCTCTTCCCGCGGGGACTCCGGGTCTCCAGGTGGCACTGTGGCACCGTGCCCGAGAGCAGCCGGTTGCTACAACAGGCGGAGCGCTCACGATCACCCATCCCATCGAAACCGGCTAGCGCCACCCCCTCATTGCAATTTAAACCTCAAATATTATATTATGCACACTGTGTGCATGGCAGCTGAGGAAAAACGTACTGCTTTGTTCTAACAGTCTGTTGTGAAACGAGACCTCGGCAGCACCGTAAATTAATCCCAAGACATTCAGTGAGGTCTTTAGAGAGGGGTTAGGCTGGGACTCGCCACCAAATGTAGCCGGTGACAGAACATTCCAGGGATCCCAGCAAAGCAGAGCTGCTAAAGCCACAGCAGCCTCCTGCTGCAGGCACTCAAAGCATCTAATACCTTGCATTAACCTAGCCAGCTTGATCTTAAAAGCCATTCATTTTCTTGCTCGGGCTGCTCAAAGCCCAGACCTCCTTCAGAAAATCAGGCTTTTGCAGCCAGAAAGCTTCACGGCTGAAGTGACCAACATGGGCTGCAGGAGCACAACACATGCACTGACCAGAAACAGCCCCAAAGCACACACCGATCCATGATTCAATCAAATCCAAGACCCTGTCAAACAGAAAAGCCTTTCTCAACATCCAATAGGCTTCCCTCTACGCTCTCTCTGCTCTGTGCTCACAAAATATGGAGCTCAGCTGCCTTTCAGCAATGCTTTGCCCAAGGCACTTGACTTGCTCTTTCGGAGAAATCTCAGCATTTCACTGTGGTGGCATCTGGAAGTGCTGCAATGTTGGGGCTGTCCTACAAGACAGCTTAAAAACCACATTGTGATCACTGGCCTAGCTCACTACTGATCTATTAATCATAACAAAAACATCGGCTGGCACAAACCAACTGGGTCACTAAATCCAGACCCTCAGGCAACTATGTAATGAGCATTCCTTCTTCTGTGCCCATAAAACATCTGCTCCGTGGAGTCTGAACATCCCCTGCTGGTTTCTGCTCGTTGTGGATGACTCCCCAGGAGGCAGCAGCAGCAGCTGACCCAGGAGCAGGGGCTCGGGGAGCTGCAGAGACGCTGCCAGGGCCCCCCTGGCTGGGGCAGGCGCTCACGAGGACCAGCCCTCCCCCTTCGGATGTGCCAGCTGGTCATTCCCTGCTCTCACCTGCAGCTGGAGGCTCCCTCCTGCCTCCTCCCTCTTCATACCCCTTGACTTCCAACTTCTTTTTTGGCCTTTGCCACTCCAGCCTTACTCCCTATTTACGGTGGGTTTCAGGCTGCTAATGTGCTCCAACAAGGGCAAAATTCCTCCAGGTGCAGAAAAGAGGGAGAAAAAACATCCTGGACAGCTAATCACAAGCAAACAGCATGGTTTGGGTTTGAATATGATAAACTGAGAGTAAGTGTTAAAAGAAGATCAATCAAATAAACAAATAAATAAATAGGTTGTCTTGAACTACAGGTACAGTTGAGGAAATTGTAGGGTATTTGCTGACACTTAGGGAGCAAATTGATGGGCATACTAAGTGGTGAATATCCATCCAACCCCTGTTTTGGGCAGATTCTGGTGTCATAAATATTAGGTGGCGAGGCAGGCTGGAGCTTGTTTTGCTGTGCTAGAAGGAGAGCTGGCACAAATTCTCCTAACATTTAGCAGGGGAGCAGGACGAGCTGCAGCTGAGCGGCTCTCCCAGGGCTCTTACGTTTTTGAATCCTCTGTAAAGCACCTGCAGTTCTCTCTTAGTAAAATTGGTCTGTGCTTCGAGCTGCTCCAGGCCTTCGGGTCTATGGCACACTGTAGTCATTTCTAATTCATCTTCAATTTTATCTGAAAGAAAAGACACGAAAATATTTGTTTAGCTTGGCACTTTTGCTCTGGTAATAGGATGGATAGCACAGACTGGATTTCAAGAGGGATAGGAGGAAAAAAATAAAAACCATGGCAGAACTGATCATCATTATGGTTTTAACCCCCTGAGAGCAAGGGAAAAGCCAGAGGAGCGGAGCAGTGTCTCCCTCTCGCTCCGGGAGCAGAAGCTGTGGGACGAGCGGGCGGCACCGGGTCCTCCTCACCCAGCACCGAGTGGGCTGGAGGAGGCCGGCCAAGCAGGAGCTCAAACCCAGCCCTGTATGTGGCACCTAAGGAAAAGGTCTTTGATGCACACCCTTCATTTGCAGCATCATAAGATAGATCTCGTAGTCATTCCTTGTTGCCTTTCACTATTTTCCCTTAAACCACCTCCTTTAAACCTTTCCTTCCATTCCCTGACACACTCCAAATAACCGCAGCGGTCTCAAAGCCATAAGAGGAGGTTGCTGTCCCCTTGTCCCACGCTGACTTTGTTCCTGCCTCTTGTATTTCTTAGTTGCATCTTCATTTTACCCCTCTGGCTACGGCGCACTAGGACTCAGCTGTGGAGATGCCCAGCTCAGGGTCGGGCTGCTGCATGTCACCACTGCAAATATGTCCAGATTTATCATTCCAGACCTCAAAACAGGACTCTTGGATTAGCTGGCTCCATTTTTATAGCTGCTTTATCCACAGCATATTAACTCCGCTTCAGGGTAAGAGCAGCTCAGATGATCTTCTTCCAAAATCTGTCCAGGCTGTAAGAATTATTTATTCTTGTATTTCTGTGCAAAAGATCATCTGTGTTTGCTTAGCCCATAGGATATGCACATTTTGTGCATCAAACAAAATAAATAGTGGCTTCACTGTTCAAAGAGTAATCAGCCTAACCCGCTTGTCTGCACATGCATATTTTATGGATTGCTGCTAATGAAAGATATTGTATTTCATTTCTCTGCTGCTTGCTTGAGAGCAGAGAACGAGTTTTCATTGGAGCAGATCAATATTTTAACTGAAGGCACACTTTGGAAATCATTCGGCGAGGCTCAATTTATACATCCTCTCATATTTGCTCTATTTTTATCTTTTGTTATCTTTACAGCTTGAAGGTTTCCTTACTTAGACCACTTGCAACCGGTCTTCTCTCTCGGCACAGTAAAGAAGGCTGAAGAGAATTTACATTCCTCTCAGTGATAAAACAGAGTAATTTAATACTACTCCTATACAAATAGGCTGATGCAGCTACATGCCTGCAGACAAAACTGCTTCAGTGAGGAGGAAAACAGCTTTTAGCCAGTGCTGAACACTGTCCAGAATGGAGCTGGGCAGCGGGACCTCCTCCTTCTCCTGCCTGCTGAAGTCCACAGTATGAGGCATGTTAGAGACTAATGACATTCATAAGTTAGCAGAAGAAACCAGCTCCTGACAGTGCTGACACCCTATTTCCATCCTGCAAAATACACGGTTAAAAAAAAATAATAAAGATGTAAAATATGGCTAAGGTATCCAGTGTTAACTGTAAAACTGAAGTACTAGATGAAATGGGTAGTCCAGCAGAAGGGGATTAAATTATGTAAAAGAATTACTAGGCTGGATCTTATTTTTATTAAAAACAAACACAAACAGTTCATTTTAGGAGTAAGGACATGAAGAAAAAAAAATAAATTGTAACTTAAAGGTTATCCACAACATCATTGAAAGGAATCTCCAAGCAGGAATACTTGCTTGGCCAGATGTCACACAAAACAGACCCTGATGGCAGGAAACAAACTGTCAATTTTTAAAGGCTTCAAAAAGAGAAATATCTACAGGCCTGAGTCTGTAAATGGTCATCATGGCAGAAAGTTGTGGGAATGGGAACTGGAAAGAGTTGCATTTCCTGCTACCTTATGGATGCAAACCCCGGAAAGCGGCTTGAGCTTTTCCAGCATTGGCAGAACAACAACAACAACAACAGGCATTTTGGAAGAGTCCTTTGAGGTCTGCAGCTTGAGATCCCCTAGGGAAAGCACTGCTAGAAAGAAATCAGGAGCTTGTTGCCATCAATATTCCCAGAATGGGAGTCAAATAGAACTTAGGAACATATATTTGCACCTTTATGATGCCTAAAGAAGGGTTAAGCAAAATGCGCTCATGTCAAATGTTAATAAAAAAAAAAAGGGGGGGGGGAAGACATGACACTGAAATACCTACTGAAATATCAAATATTAAACACATTTAATCACACTTGTGCAGTCCTTTATTAATAAATTATTATTATTATTGTCTGCTGGTGAGATCAATCTCCACACCAAAGGGACTCTCCATCGGATAGAGAAACAAAACAGAATTGATGTGTCTGCACATCCATTCCCTTTGCTTGGAATTACCCTCTGATGCTTCCCGCTCCATTCTCCCTGCCAAATTAATTGCACCAACAGCTGCATTTAGCCAGGGCGAGCCCAGAGTGGCCCCAGATGCCCAGAATAGCTGCATAAGAGCCCCCTATGGAACAAAAGTCTGAGATTAAAAGCAGATGAATTTTAAGATTTTCTTGGCTAACCCTTGCAATCATCTAGGCAAGAGTTATGTGCAAGCATTTCCTCTGGCCTCTACTCCTGGAAATCAGCTGGGCTGGAAATCAGGGAGCCGCTGGACCGCATCTCCTTTGGGAGGCTGCAGAAATGTCCTTTTGGGACAAACACTTGGCTCCAAGCAGCCGTTCACATGCAAAACCTCCACCTGCAAACAAAGCTCACGAAAAGTATTGGTTTTCACTGCCTTTTATTTTGCTTGCTGCCAGCATAAAAAGTGAGAATAAACTCAGCCCGGGGGACCCATTTCCCATCTCAAAAACAATTAAAAACCTTTTGCTACAGAAATTATATGTAGTTGAACTGCTTTAAATTTTATCTCTCTGATACATGTAAAACCATCAGGCAGGGTCGAGGAAAGAGTAAGAAAAACATTTAACCAAAACAGAATGACAGCCGTAGACAAGTGTCATTTTTTCCCCAATTTTCAGGTGACAGGGGTGTAAGTGCCATCGGGCACCCGCAGGATGGCTCCCAGCTGTATTTTATCCGTGTTTCTTTGCCGAGCTGCCTCCTGCCCTTATTCCAAACTGCAGGCCAGGAGGGCAGAGCCAAGGCCGCGGGGCAGCTCTGCCACGCGAGCAGCTCTTGGCATCAACTTGGCAGTCTCAACGGAGGCCTTCCTGTGCCAAGAGGTGCCCAGGAGCTTCTGCCGCCTCGCCAGGGCTTGGGCTCTGGGCACCTGGAGAAATTCAAACAGTTAGTACAGGGGGAGAAGTGTGCCAGGCCGTGCAACCGCTGCTCTTTGGGGCCACTTCACCCTATCCTCAAAGCCCTGGGAGAAAAGCTCATTAGCAAACTAGGCCCAAAATAACTGAGTTAGCCGTATTGCAAAGGTAGGCACCTGGGCTCTCTCAGCATTGTTTTTTAGGGGAGCATTCGGTGCATGGTTTGATCCGCATTTGTGAGAGGCATTAGAGCACTGCTCGGCCCAGGGCACCTTGACCCTGGGCAGCTCCTGCCTCCAACCACCTCGTCACTCCCCACGCAGCCGGTGCCAGCAGGTGCCCCAGAGCTTCCTAACCCCTCTCCAAACCGTTTCTCCTCCAACACCTCAGCCCTCCCTGCCGACAGCGGGGAAGCACCAGGACTCCCCTCACTTCCCTCCACGGCTGCATCAACCCATTGGTCACTGCCCCTCTGGGCGCTACGACGACTCCAAGGCCCCCAAAACTGCAATCCTCAGTGTTGTGTTTCTCTCTGAAGCTTGAGGTTAAGGGAAAAGATGTATGCGAAAGGGAAGGAAAGGAAGGGAGAAGCATCTCCCATTCAGTGTCTAATAAGCGCTGCTCTAAATTTGCATTCTAACACTGCTGGTAAACTAATTTCCAAGCATGAGAACAAAGAGATGTAAATGCAACCATTCATTAGAGAAAGCAGGATAATAGTGTCCTCATTTAGTACGGGTGAAAGCAATGAATAAAAGAAGAGCTGGCACAGCACGGAAAGGTCCCACTGTAAATATTGGATTTGATAAGATGAATAATCATCAGAGATCACCAACAGATAGCAGGAATACAAAAGCTTTGCCATTAAAAAAAAAAGGGACAAATCTGCTTTTCTGTATTGCGAAACTTTGTGGATTACTGAAACTTTAGAATGAAGATAACATTTTGCATATAACAAATATTTTTGTTCTTTTCAGAGATTGGGAAAAAAGTCCTTAAGAGATTAAAACACTCTCATTTAACAATACATTTTCCTTCACCAGCTGAAAAAATTCACGGAAGTCAGCTTTCAATGACTGAATGGAAAATTAATTCCCTTCCTGAATATGAAAATCAGAATTAAAGAGTTTTAGGTTCAGAATCTATACTTTTTACTTAGTACCGATTTGCTCCTCTTTGAAAATCTGCACTTTTTAAGTAGGCACAACAGAAAACAGAATCAACCGAGTTCATGGGCTTATGCCTACTTATCAGATTAAACAGCATAAAGAAAAGAAACCAGCACGTTGCTATTGACACGTCCCAAAGCTTTTCTTAAAACAGGCCAAAGCAATTTGTGAGAACTTGAGCATTTTTTCTTGTTTTTTCCCCAAAGAGTCTAATACTACTTTCCTAACTTGACACCCATGATACAAATTCCAATCTGGACAACTGAAGCAAAGCAAAGGCATCTCTGAGCAAGTAGGGATCAATCAAAAGGAAAAAGAATTGACAAAAAAAAAATCAACTGACCATTTTGAAGATTATTTCTAATATGTTGGGACATTATTTACAAACAGCAGGTAATACCATGTTCTCAGGACCATAGAAAAGCTATTAGTGGAGTATAACTGCCCACCTGGAGACAACACAAGGCCGTCACTGTCTGCAGGTGGGAAGAGAAAAAAAACACGAAAAAAAAACAAAACCAAAACCAACCATTCCAAAAAGCTGCACTTCTTGGCACTTCACAACTACCT